TCGATGTAGGTGGAATGGTTTGAGGCCCGTGTGCCTAGATTTAGGCGTACGTTAAAAAACCACAGGTGGTGCAATTTCACGGAGACCACTACGGCGTCTCTTATATTCTTATATGGTGGTTTTTTGGCGTTCAACCTCAACAATTAATATTAGAAGCCCACACAAGAGAACAGGAACGCATGTGTCGTCATTGTTCCTAAGACAGTTGAAATCATTTGAAGATAACTTATCGTAATAGGGCTTAAACAAATCGCTGATCGATTGATATGTGAGGTTTAACGTCCCGAAGCCACCGTATGATTATTAGAGACGTCGTAGTGGAGGGTTTCGGAAATTTTGAGCAACTGCAGTTCTTTAACGTGCTCCCAAATCGGAGCACACGGGCCTACAGCGTTTCCGCCTCCATCGAAAATGCAGCCGCCGCCGCCACGACTCGATCCCGCAACCTGCGGGTCAGCTGAAACAAATTGCATTAGCGATCATTCCATGACCCTACGTAGTCCTCACCAGCAATCATTTAGCCGTTTTCGGGCAATACTAGTCGACATCAGCCACTATTCAGTCAGCATTGACCGACTTGCGCTTACAGGCGCCGGTCATGCCCGAGAGTACGGAATAGTTGAGATAAAGTGGCTCTCATGCCGTCGGGAGGAGGCCATTTGTGAGAAGTCAGATGTCAGAGTAACCCCTTAGAGTGGGTGTTTGGAAGAGCCCTGGAAAAATACCGTATTCGAAATTCCATGCGCTACCACACAATGGTCACTAGGTGGTATTGAAATATTGAAACATAAGGAAATAGATAGATAGATAGATAGATAGATAGATAGATAGATAGATAGATAGATAGATAGATAGATAGATAGATAGATAGATAAATAGATAGATAGATAGATTACTCAAATGTTATAATGTCTGATCTCACTAAAACACAAATAATGTCTTCCGTGCACGCTGTGTAGCACATTGTTTTTTTTTTCGCTTACGTGTTCTCCGAATGTTAGAAGATGTTTTCTGTGTGGTGGGAACAACTCGTTAATGTCCATGCTTCTTAAAATGAAATATAAGAATTACGAATTTAACAACGGTTATTTTCTCCCAACTGACTTCGTGCGTTATTTACTTCATCTGGTGACTGATCTTGACACTGCTTACTAAATCATATTGAGCAAGCAAATCACTTAAGGCCTGAAAAAAAGTGAATAAAAGCGAGTAAGAAAGTGTGATGATCGTTAGAGATTATAGTAGCTGTAATAAGGCGACTTTGTGATTTTACGCGATGTTTGTTCTAGCACTTTAGCAGTATGGCGTACAAGAGAAACGCTACCGAAGGGATCTCTCACAAACTACGTCGGAAGCGGCATTAAAACGTTAATATAAAACACTGGTGAATGTTTACGAGACTGATCTCCTTGTACTTTTTGTGTACAGCTACACCACTGTGCCACATTAACATGACTACACACCTACATGGGACAAAATGATACAAAGACAAACGGTAAATTGCTCGCATCTTACATAACATGTATATGTGCAGCGCGGCCATAAAATAGCACCTACAAAGCCAAAATCGGCGCTAGTGGTATTCACAAAACAACAGTACAGCAGCTAAGCTTTCTTTACAGACGCTGAAATAATTAGTACGTCTATATTCTTCATAATGATTTTACAATTGTTACAATGTATCTACAGGCGAGAGCAATTCACTCCAACGTATGAGTAACGCCTGTATAAGGCGAAGGCAAAATTTATTGTGATTAAAGTTAGAACTAACGCTATGCTGAACAAGGTACACCACGTATATACTGTACACTGAAGACACGTCCATGAGTAGACATGAGACTGAATATTCTGAACCACATCGTCAATTATTCGTGAGCCCCGCTACGGTGGTCTAGTGGCTAAGGTACTCAGCTGCTGACCCGCAGGTCACGGGTTCAAATTCCGGCTGCGGCGGTTGCATTTCCGATGGAGGCGGAAATATCGTAGGCCCGTGTGCTCAGATTTGGGTGCACGTTAAAGAACCCCAGGTGGTCGAAATTACCGGAGTCCTCCACTACGGCGTCTCTCATAATCATATGGTTGTTTTGGGACGTTAAACCCGACATATCTATCTATTAATTTTTCGCGAGCCACATCATCAATTTCAAAGACCCCTTTTACCTTCAAACTTCGCTTCATTGACTTCACTGCAAATGCATATAAATAGTAGAATAATTAAGTAGCAACGCATCAATCGATGTAACAAAGTAATGCCGCCCCGCCGCGGTGGTCTAGTGGTTAAAGTACACAGGCCGCGGGATCGAATCCCGCCTGCGGCGGCTGCATTTTCGATGGAGGCGTTAATGCTGTAAGCCAATGTGCTCAGGTGCACATCAAAGACCCCCAGGTGCTCGAAAGTACCGGAGCCCTCCATTACGGCGTCTCTCATAATCATATGGTGATGTTGGGACGTTAAACCACACATTGACAATCAATCAATCAACGAAGCTATGCCACATTTAACGGCGCGTCTTGTCTACATCCCGGCATGCCGCAGCGATCTCTCCAGGCTCCCAGCCTATTGTCGGCGCCGAAATGTCTTACGATTCAATCAGCAGTTGTTGCTTACGAAATATTACTTTTGACATTTATTTGTTTATGAAAGTGTTCAATTTTTTTCGCCGACAGGTGCATCTCCGTACATTCTAGAGGCGCGTCTGAGTTACTGACGTCAGCCGAGACGATGCACTCTCTTAGAATGTCAATGTACGGCTGAATCGCGCGGGAGGTTGACTTTGTTGCCGCCAAGTGTTCATCAGGCACACGGTTTTGACGTCACGCATTGAAGAAGACATGATGTTTTTATAATTTACTTGAGTATCATCGGTGATGAGATAAGCGAATACATTGTTTTTGTTTAGTATTGCAGCAGTGTTTTGCATCTGGACGCACGTTGTACGTCATTTCATTTTTCTTCGTACTAATTCAGCGTAATATGCCAAACGCACCCGATGTCCACTCTGCTATTACTACTAGAAAACAAATCTCTTATCTCTGTAAGATGAACCGATAACAACGTAAACCACGTAACATAGCTAGTAGTTCGGAAAACTAGCAAAAATATCTACATCGAATGCAGGGTACACTACCTTTGCGATTATCACACATTTCATTTTCTCTTTGTTTTTACTTTCAAGACATTATATTTCTATAAGTGGAACTGATGCCTCGCTTTACTCACCCAATCGCGCGCTTACTCTCATTGCAGTCGCACACGATCACATGTAGTCAAGCCAACGAAACAGGAACCGGCAATTCTTGTATATAAGCCTGTGTCACAAATGAGATCTTCGTTCTAGCCTTACAACGGTGTTCGTTCCACCCGATACCAACTCAATGAATTGTGGAACCAACTCACAATTTATTACATATGGCATCACGTGACCGTACTGAGCGTGTCGTTCACTTTGTCTGTGGCGAAAGACATAGCGTAATGGAAACTTCTCGCCACCGTACTCCATTATTAAAGGAAAACCTTCATTTGCCGCAAGGAAATGAATGTGACTAGTTGGTATCCTTGCGGCTGTCTGCGTCGCGTATTACACCAGGCCAAAGAAAAGATAAAAATAGGTAAGGATGGCGAAAACAACGCCGAAAATATACGGTGAGCTATACCGCACTACATTATCTTTATCTCTCTCTCTATACCGCACTACATTCATTCGTAGGCAAAAAGTTGCTTTGTGTACGGCGGCCGTAGACGATGTTAGAAGCATTGTAAACATTGCAAAGCAAAATGGGGATGCCAGAAGATTTTTTTTTTCTTTACGTCTAACAGACAAAGCGAGACAATCACGAGATTCTTGGCGCTCAATCTTCAGCCCAAACGAAACTGTCACACTACACAAAGGCCGATGATAACCCGTGCCTTACGCAAGTTCTTCAGAAAACGAATGGCCTGCATTGATGCGGCTTCCGGAGTTTATCAGTCATCCGGATGGTACTAAATGACGCAAGTTTCCTTACTGAATGAAAGCCGGTTACGTTGTTATGGATAGGCTTCACGTTGAAACGCGTGTCTGCTGCATTGCTGGTTAACGTCATTCCTAATCTCTGTTCTCATTCGCTCAAAAAAAAAGAAAGAACTTCAGCATGATCACTGAATAGCGTGAAACAAAGTAAGTGTAAACCGACGATAGTTGGCCTGTATATCAAAGCTCGAGCTGTCGTCACGCCTAGGGATCCTGGAAAGAGGGTGGGGAAAAAGCGTACTACGTGCACAGCCACATGCAGAAAGAAGGCTTCTTCGGCCACAGCTGTGCACTCGGACCGCATGCGACGACGGGTCTGGAAAAAAAAAAAAAGTGTGCGCGGAGCGCATATTCCCTTGACGCAGAACGGCGATTGTTCTGGACCTCGAGCGAGTCGACGCATGTGGCCCCAGCACGCAGGTCCGAGCCAGAAGAAGAATTCGAGGAGCTCCTCAGGCGAGACAAGCCCAGAAAACAACGGGGGAAAGTGGCCACGTATGTGTATTGTCATCGTCGCATGCAGCCGAAGCAGGGAAAGTAAGAAAAAGAGGGCAGGTGCGTGGCGGAAGCTTTCTCTGCCTCGTGGCATCGCGAAATACCTACTGCCGCGCGCGTTAAAGGATGCCGCACGCATCTCGTGTTGTTGTCGACTGCAAGACATGTTGTTGTTGCCTTCTGTTGTTTGGATTGTGTGAGTGTTGTGACACAGAGAGACAGAGAGAGAGAGAGGTCGGTCCTACCTGTGCAGCAGTAGCAAGCTCCTTATGTACCACACGAGTCTTTACTTTTTTGGCGCCGGCTGCCCAGCGCGAAGCGGCGGCCGCGTACTGAGGCGGGCACTCTACGAGAAGCACTTTGCGGCGCGGCGGTGGAGGGGCGGGCGTTCTGCTGCGTGCGGGGGCAAGTGGTGTGGCGTGGTTGAGGCTGTTGTGCATGGTGGTGCGGGTGACAGGTTGCGGCAGCGTCAACAAGCCCTCGGGCGTTTCGCACCTTCATGGCCGCCGGAATGGAGAGCGTCGAGGTGGGCTTGCGCAGGTGTTTGAAGTGGCGCAGCGCCCCATTGATGCGCATTGAGTCGGCCGCGATCTCGGCGATCTCGTTGTCCCGGTGCAGCTGGCGCAGCGACGTGGTGAGCGGCGCGCCCGCCGCCTGGTGCGACGACGGCTGCTGCGACGACGACGCCGGCAGCAGGCCCGCGTCTGTCGCGCTGCAGCGCACGCTCTCGCGGGACACCGTGCGCGTGAGGAACGAGTGCTCCAGCCGCGCGCTCAGACCCAGCCGCGTGTGCGGGGTCCATAGGTGGGGGCGCTGCTGCGAGGGCGCCGCCGCTGGCTCGCACGCCGCGCGTCCCGCAGGGGGCGCCCCACCCGGGGCGCCCCATGCGGACGAGCGTCGAAACCCGCCGTCCTCGCCTCCACCGTCGACGTCGTAGCCAGGGCAGCACTCGTCCTCCTCGCTGACTCCCGGTCCGGTGAACTGCACCACCTGGATTTGCGGCCCGATCTCCGGGCACGACCGGTAGTTGGGCGGCGCGGGAGGTTCGAGCGTCTTGAACTCGACCAGAGGCAGCGACCGCTCCGGCTCCGAGTGCATCCGTCCCAGCACCAGCGCGGGCTTGCCGGACGACCCGGACGCCTGGTACTGCAGCTGAGGGTACGGCCAGCTGGGAGCCTCGGGCGGCTGCGGTGGCTGCGTCGGCGCCGTGTGGTGGTTGTTGTTGTTGTTCGTGCCGGCGGCGTTGTTGTTGGAGGCCGGCAGGAAGTCGTCGTCCACGGCAGGCGTCACCATGACCAGGGACATGCTGGACGACGGTGACTGGGCTGCGCCAACTGGCGGCTGCGCCGCGCTGCTGCTGCTCTGAGGCGTGATTCCGGGCACCTTTCTCGCCGCCGCCGAATTTCTTGGCTGCGGTTCCGGAAGCTCGCGGGGCCCGCGGGCGGCGGCCTCCGTAGGGCCGACGGCGCGGGGCCTAACCCAGGTCTAGCTGCTGGCTCGGCACCTTCACCTGCCTTGGCTGGGTTTTCGCCGCCGCCTCAGCCGACAGCTGTCTCAGCGCTGCTGGCATCTGTGAAATCGAACAAAAAAGAGAGCAGGAATGAATATTATGAGTAAATAGCAGTCGTCTACGTGGCCATCTATTCTTCTTGGTCTATAGGTATTGACAATAATATTGACAGGTCTCCAGAAATGAAATATATATATAAGATATATCAGCTTATCCAATGAAGATATACTACATACTTACCGGCCTTAAAGCTCTCATTTTGAGGTCGATCAGGCCTTAGTTGTTTTTCGTCTAAACAGATCACAAATGAGAGGATTTGTTTGTTCAAAATATTGCCGAACCTGCTTCTTTATTTCTACTTTCTTGTTACCAGCTTCTTTACAATATGATTGCTGCCTTGCGCAAAGTGCACTCGAATGATTGAGAACTACTATATTATTTTAGAACCTTCATTTGAGATTACGTGCTCAGCACGAACATTAGAATTAGTTCTGTAACTTACTTGGCTGCTATCGATAACGTTGGAATCTTCGATGATACGTGCGTAAAAGCTAATGGCGCTTGAACGCTTGTCGATTGATCGACAGCCGGCGCTCTGTTTGCAGATATCAGTGTATCTACTATAAACAGCAAACGCTTTCGGGACGTGACCTGTTCGATAAAGGTAAATTCTCGCTTTTTCTGGGAGTGTGATTTCGAAATAAGTGTTCCATAATCCATTTAGTATTCCGACCTATAAAGCCGCCAGCTTAATACGCATTACGCACTGATATTGCAATAATTGACCTTTGTTGTGTATCCAACGTCCCGCAAACTTTAGCCGTATATATCACAGCGTGTACTGCTTGTTGTAGTTCAAGTTTCCGTTTCACAGGCCACGAGTTCGCCCAAATAAAGAGTTTCAACTTGGACCTGCCGACTGCTGCCTTCATCAAAATGTCATGACTCCGGATAATATTAAACATCACTTTAAAAAGTACACCTTGTAATGCTTTTGCTTACGAATGATTGCTAAGAAATTGTGCTCTCTAGCACAGAATAGAAAAAATGCTGTAGCGAAACGTGAATGTATGCTACGTTTTATACAACGCTTCTTTGGTGCTCGTACTGCTTATGGCATTCAACTGGTTATCACGGGCTCTGACAGCGGGTGCCGTTCCTTCGAACATATGAATCAAACAGTAGGGTTTACGTAAGTCTTCGCCAACTCAATCTTTGGAATAGTTGGTTATGCATAGTAGTAAGAAAACAGCACAAATTCTTCGAACGGGGATTGAACCAAATGAAACTAGAATGCCTGACTAAACAGCCCGAAGCTTATCTTTACCAAGTTACATACGTAGCACTTCAGTAAACGTTTGCACGAGTCGGTTTTTTTTACAGCGTAAGCTGTTTTGAGATCACTTTTCGGGTCACGCGCAGTTGCATAATGTCCGTCACTGCAGCCGCCGCCGGTGTCCGTAAGCACAACACGCGAATTTAAAAAAAAAAAACAGCCTCGCACTAACGACACATTGGGGATCGAAGCCGGGTCCGCTTGGTGCCAGCCCAATATTGTTGTCAAACTTCCCTTAGGCAGGCATGACCTAGCACCAATGCCACAGTGGGGCTCGAACCCGGGTCCGCAGGGTGCCATCCCAGTATTCTACCACTGAGCTACACCAGGGCTCGTGACTTGTTGTCAAACTTGCCTTAAGCAGGCTTGATGTCGAGAAAGCAAACGCGTTACTACAACTTATAAAGCGTTTTAAAACAGCTGAAGAACAATCAGTTGTCGCACAATGCGAATAGCGTAGCTAGTGGGCCGTCCACTGCTTCAACCCATTACAAAAGCTTGTTCTTGTTCCCTATTAAGTGTGCCGCATAGCCACAACAGCCATAATTCCTCATCATCGTAAGCATTGCATGCATGGACAATTGGCACAAAATTCCTTGCACTGAGCGTTTAGCGGATACCACGCTTCTCAGAACAAGGACGTAAAATAGCATAGTGAATGCCTGCTTACTACCCCAAAGTTTATTATTAATGCCCCAGTGGATACAAAGCAGGTGTGCTTGCAGTAGTTACCCAATGAGTGTTTTGTAAAGGCCCTAAAAGGCCGCTCTTCTTGCTTTCGCTGTGACTGTGCTGCGCCTACCGTGCAGGCCTGGCGTTTTTTTTTTCTTTTTTAGTTTTGCCCCCTTCTGAAGAAGTCGCATTATTTTTACACTACTCGTAGTTTTCACCTACAATACGAAAATCCCGAGCTCCCCCTAACTAATCTCTGGCGTGCTACGAAAAACGAGGTCAATTTTTCCCCCTTTAGTGAAATATTGCCAGGTGTCAGCGTTTTCTAGGAACTTTTGCAGATATTGCAATTTTTTCGTAAAATTGCAATAGGTATACAGTACAAAGTTCGCTGCGGCACTCTCGAACAAAAAAAAAAGTGTTAAAGACTTTACGAGCGCTCATACCTTTAACCTCTCTGCATGGCATTTAATTTTTGACGAGAGCTTCGAAGCACGTTATTACAGTAGAATGATTCAATGTTCAATGGCACTAAAATAATGATTTGATTCCTTAGCGCATGCTATTTTATAAGATAGCGTAATGTTTGATCTTCGAATTAGTTTTTTTATGAATTAACTCGCAGGTAATAAGATTGTGCGTGCTTCCCGCCTTGTTTTTTGCAATTTCTTTCTGAAACTCACTACCATCAATTATTGAATCAAGCCCCTCATCACATTGTTTCCGGCGGCATCTAAAACAGTTTTTACTAACAACATGCGACACCTGAATATATATATATATATATATATATATATATATATATATATATATATATATATATATATATATATATATATATATATATATATATATGTTTAAATACGGTTATATGCATTTATGTGTAAGTGTATAGGTTCTGATATCACACTGTATTAGTTAGTGATATGTATGTGTTATGGTAAAGTCATTTAATCCAATTAGTTATCTCCTGTTTTATCACTTACTTGTAAATGTAAATATTTTGAGCTACCATAAGTTTCAATAATAATTTCGTTCGTTTTGTTCTATTCGCTTGCTATTTTTTTCCTTAGTTGCCAATCTTTGTTGTATATTTTTATATATGAATTCACAGGAGGTCCCCCTGACAGTTTTTACTTTGGGACCTCCTTCTGTATTATATGAACTTTTTACTTACACTGTATTGTACTGAATACTGAATAAAGGAAACAGCTATGGAGGCGAAGAAATATATATATGAAGAAGGAAAGACACCTGGATTCTTGGATCAGTTTTCACATTAAAGGCTCTCAGGAGCTCACGAATATTTAGCAGAATGTCGCACTCGAGTTTACTCCATAATGATGTTGTGGTTTGGGTGCATAAAATTACCGATTTAACTTAGCAGTGTTGATCTGCGTTCAGCATAGCCAGGAAGGCAACCTTCACTGAATGCAGAGCGCTGATCAACTCTATTGTTGTTATCAAGTACGGCAAGCTCACAATCAAGTGAATTGGTTGGTTTAACCAACTTATTCAATGAATACTGTTGCTTATTACGTATCTAGTTAACATTCAATCCAACCGCACAAAATAGCAGAGAACACGTCTGGTTCATATGGAGATGTATTCGCTCGCATGTACATAACAGTAGACACGGCACTGCACTTCAGCACACACATATGATGGGTGTCATATAATACTGCTCATAATGATTATGACGTGTGTTACACAAATGAAAGTTTGTCATTTCCTAGTACTTGCCAGTGACACCGCTGTCTTTCTAAAAAAAATTCAATTCTTTTGAAGTGTACATCTGTAAAGCACCAGTTGGCCTCGGACCCAGAAGTTTCGTCATACTGAAAAGGTCTGTGGTGTACTGCCAACAATTCCGATTTAATACTACATCACGGCGTATCAAGATGTGGGAAGTCTATAAAAAGGTGACATACGTCTTCATCTACAAATCCGCATTAGCATTCTGGAGTTTCAGCTAGGCCAATCCAGTATAAATATGTTTTTTGTGTGTGGTAACTAGCATTAACCGGTGAATAAATGTTTCCATAGTTGTATCTAATGATAGCGTAACTTTGAATTCAATGAATGAATCGATATGATATAAATCACAGCTTTTTATAATTTTGGTCAAACCAAGCATTTTTACTCATACGGAATTTTGTAGCTTTTATCACACTACGCAATTCATATTTCGAGATTAGCCAAGAAACAAAATATTTTTACGATTTGCTTGTCGTGTTGCTTCATAGAAAGAGGTGTTACGAGGAATGTCGCAATCGCCAGGTATTCACTGGAATTCCATCTCATGTGGCACACAGCTTGCTTTGGTAAGCTCTTTAAGTGTTTCGTATGTCATACTATCACTAATTACCATCGTGTTAGTGCTAGAGAATGACGTTAATGTGGCCTGTGAATCGTTGAAGAGTACCCATGTTCTCGCATCTGGTGAAGAGTTTGTAAACCTGATAGCATACAGAACAGCGAAGAGCTCAGGCTGTTGTAAACAACATGATTTGAATGATTGCCTGTACATTAAGCTGTGGCATGATAATTGCTGATGTTGAAGAGGCTGGTATACTTGAGCCATCTTCGTAAGCGTGTATATATCCTGGATACCGCGTGTGTATCTGATAAAGTGCTAGTTGTTGAGCAGCTTGGATTAACATGTCTCTCTTTCTGATAATACCGTCTACTGACAATTCAATGTTTGGCATTGTAAGCAGCCACAGAGGATAGTCAGCTTCGGAGATCCAAAATTATTTCCTTGGTAATACATGTAGATTATTCTGTATTTTTTCATTAGCATTGCTTTTATCCCTTCGGGGGAATCTCCTGTGCCAAAGGGTGGTCTCTCTGTATTGCGTCTGTGAGCGAAGAAATGGCGGTATGCTTGGATGGTTGTCATGACTGGACAGGATGGTTTTCAAGTCTCTGCGATATGGCGAGGCTGCTGGAAGTCACTCGTGGAACACCTAGGCAGGGACGCAGCCCCTAGCTAATAGTCTTTGAAGTCGTTCTTGCCCCGCCACGGTAATCTAGTGGCTAAGGTACTCGGCTGCTGGCCCGCAGGTAGCGGCATCGAATCCCGGCTGCGGCGGCTACATTTCCGATGGAGGCGGAAATGTTGTAGGCCCGTCATACTCGGCACCTCTCATAATCATATGGTGGTTTCGGCACGTTAAACCCCACATATCATTGATGTCGTTCTTCTGAAGAGCGGGAAATGTCATGTAAAACTGCCGCAAAGTATGCAATTTTTCGTAGTAATAAAACATTGCCAACAGCGAGCACGGATGATACAGATCCAGCTCAAGATGTACCAGCAATTCTAGCGGAGTATAATCACTAGCATATTCACCTCACTTTCGGGTTTCATTATGTGAGGTGCCCATGATAGCTGGCGATTAAGTAA